GCTTGTGTCCGGCTAGGGGGCAGGGAAGACAATGCGCTAGCTTCCCAGGAAAAGGAAACCAGAGTCACTCAGATGACCATGCCTTGTATTACGCGTGGCCATTAACTCAATCAAAAGTGTGTGCGGTCATGTCGCTGGGAATCGACCTATCAAAGATTGGGAGGAATACGAATGCATATATGTTCTACTCATCTATTGCGGAGGAACCAGATGCCGAATGAGGCCTAGTAATTTCGAGCTGTCTAAGCATACTCGCAACACAATTACTTGCGATGATTCCGGTGACTGCCGAAACACTTTGTCGGTGTAGGTTTCAGTTGCCTTGAATGCAACGCACACGAGTGACTAAACGTTTGAGTACCACTCTGAACACTTTCCAAATATCCTCCACCAATTTTTTTTTTTTTTTTAATATGGGCAGGGGTTTGGGCTTTTTGGTAGATTACGCGCGATTTCCTGGGCTCTGGCATTCTCGGAGATTATGGGAGCAAGCGCGGCTTGCATTGACGTCAGATCAGCGGACATTAGAACGACCTTGCTGCTGAACGCACATCTTCAGCCCAATTTATTTCGCACCACCGAATTTGACCTTCTCGGCAAGCATTAGTAGAAGTGTGACCACCAGCATGGTGAGGTGACGCCACGTGCGTAACGTGTGTTGGTAACGTGTGCCACCTTATAGGAGGTATTCACTGGGCGCCATATTTGAGGGCGATGTTTAGAGCGCATGCCCAGAATGAGCTAACATTGATAGCCTGCTAAGACCGGCCACCTTGATGGTGCTAAATGCACGCTCCGGAAGGACTGCGGAAGCTCGCCGTCAGCACGCGCTCAGTAGCCGCGCACACGGATATGGCGTTTTTATCGACTGGGGCTGCAACCTCACAGGCTGCTTGGCGATAATAATATGCACAGAACCAACCGCGCCTTGCGTTGCGGTTCCAAGGACCCAAACCATAGTTCCGGTTGCAGCTGTGCTAGCGCTCCTGTTTGCGATGCAAACCTCGTGTCTGTGCGCGTGGCACGTATTTCCTTATGTTTTTCTTATAAATGGCCAATTCATCATCGGTGTTTTAGTGCAGACTTTGATGCATTTGTCAAAACTTAACGCACAATAAAAAAAAATAAAGACGCTTACGACTCTCTGAAATGTCGAATTAGAGCGCAGCTCGTGAGGAGGAGGAAAGGAGGGTATGAAGGGGAGGGTATGCCCCCCTCCCTCTCCGCACCCATTTAGCAGGAAATTTTCACTAAATTTCCCGCCCAATTTAGCGAAAAATTATCATGCCAATTTTAGCGGGAAAACTTTACCCTCCTGACGTCACACGTGGCGCCACGTGTGACGTCATCATGGAAAACGTCTCATAATGCAATGCGCGGTTACGCCAAAGCCGACGCCACTCAACCAGGAGACGAGCGCCTAAGAGCTACGCTCTAAAATAAAAAGTGCAAGTTTTGATATTTTAGGAGGCATGCCTCTAGGCATTCCAAGTTTTTAGACCCTAGAACGCACCCTAGCAACACCACCTCGACAGAAGGCCTCCACACGCGTCATCATAGTCAGATCGATCGAGGCGAGAGATTGGGCACGAGTGCTGCGTCAGTGTTCGGCTGCGGCTCGTGGCCAATCAGCGCGTCGAAGGTCGGACTCGGGTCCAATAGCCGACCGAGCGCGATCCGACTGTGATGACGTCTCATAGAGGAAGAGGAAACCATGCGGAGGCCTTCTGTCTAGGTGGTGTTGACCCTAGTCACGTTCTTATTTTTTTTTTATTGATAAGATGAAGAATTCGTCTGGTTCTGTATTTACGTGTTTTTTTTCTTAATTAGTACACTTACATTTCTTACATTTCTTTAAGTGCCTTTTTTTTAAACAATTGTGATGTGTCGTAACTCGGTTTTACATCATAACGCAGCAACAACGTTTAACGGCATGCCCCTGGTAAACATAGGAACACCACAGGCACACACACATACACACACAGACACACAAAAAATAAAAAAAAAATACCCGAGACTGCGGTGACGGCGAAAAAAAAAAAGAAACGACGGGTACGAGGATCAAAAGAACCACACACGCACACACACACACGAGAGCAGCACCAGCAGTGTGGGCCGAGAGGCTTAACATTGTCGACCCATCTCTTACTCGTGTGCGCTCCCTCCCTACGGCGATGACTGGATTTTGTTTTCGGTTTCTTTCCCTTCTGAAATGTCTCAGCGTTCCTCTGCAGACAGTCAGCAGCTCACACACAACGTAAATTTACCAGAATCGGAGCCCGTACGAGGAATGATGATGTCGCATCGGAAATTCGGAGCCGGTTCATTCAAAAAGTGTGGGGAGCTGCCGGACGGCGCGTAGTCCCGCGGTTACGGCGATAATCATAAATATAAATTTGGTACTTTCAACCCTGGTAACGCGTTGCATATTACGTTTGTATTATATAGATAATAAATTGTACAAGACTGCGCTCTTAAAACGTGTATTAATGTCGAATAAACGCGCACGAACATTACCGTGCCGCTCAAGAAAAAACTTTTTTTCTTTTCTTTTCTTTTTTTTTTTTTTTCACGTCGACAAGCGTCGACAGCAGAACTTTTCTCACGCAGTTGCGCCATGGCCTTCCTTCCTCCGACATTGTTACGTGCCCACTCGGAGCGCTCCGGCCTTATTTCTAGGAGGTGTTAATATATTTCTCCTCCCTCCTCCTCACCTCCTCATCCTGTCTGCTACTCCTCCCTCCGAGCGGCGTCGCCGTCGACTCACGAGGGTCACGTGACCCCCGTGGCGTCACGTGAACCCTGTGAGGTCATGTGACAATGACGTCATCACGATGACGTCATCGTCACTGAAAACGTCATCGGTTACGTCACTGATGACGTCATCAGGGACGTCACCAGTCACGTCACGCGTCCCAGTATGCAGCGCGCGGTTACGCCGACGGCGACGCCGCTCAAGCCGGAAATGGGCGCTTAAGAGCTGCGCTCTAAAAAAATTAACCAGGCATGTTTCGACTGATTTGCAATAATTTTTTCGTGCACCCTTTTGGGTTATTACATTCTATTTTATGGGTGTCGGTCATTGTGCTTTTTTTTGGCTACCTTTTCTGCTGGCGGTGCACAATTTAGGGGGCATCTACTGCAATCATAACACCCCAATAAAAAGGTGTACTGTGGAATCACACCTGAATTTAAGGGGGTTCAGGATAACGCCTGTCTTTAGGAGTGTTAGGAATAACACCCTTTTCTTTAAGCAATTTAATACACCGGTAAAGGTGTGAGTCATATGACAATCCATTCACACCCATAAGTGTGTAATGATTTTTAGAGTGTATCATTTGTTGGAGGGACAAACTTAGGCCCGCTTCAGACGGGGCAACTTTCGCTGCAATTTCGTTGTTTCTGGCGAGCTGTTTCCTAGCTTTCCTTAGATCCTGGCGCTGTGACACGGGTCGCTCGAATCGCATCCGGTCAAAACGGGAGAAACTTGTACAACTCAGAGACGTTTGAAGCAACAACAGCCAATCAGGGACGCGATATTTTCACATGATACCCCAGTGTCGGTGATGATGACAACTAAAGTCTTGGTTCTGGTTTGAAATAGACCGTTTTTGGGAAGGAACCTTGTTAGAACGGTGAGTTGGTATTTTCAACACCATTTAAAGATTGAAAACAAATGGTTATAACACTTAACTCTGTGCCTAAATTGGGCAAGAATTTTTTTTAATGATGATGATGGCAAGATTCAGTTGCTGCGTGTGAACGCGGGCGGCCCGTGTTGCTGGTGTTGCGACATCAAGTTGCTGGGAGAAATTTCCCCGTCTGAAGCGGGCCTTAACGTGTAGGTAAAAGCACTGTTACAATTTGAACCAATTTTTTCCAACTTCGGGGACATCTTAGAAAATTGAGAGGCCTACCCGGTTGACAGAGAAGTCCAAACTATATATCCTCCCGGAAGCTTATTTGGACCTTCCCGATAAATAGGACTGCGTTGACCGAAGCTCTCTGATTCCTGTGTATGTACTGATGATGCCTCCCGCATGGGAGGCGAAACGTTTAATGAAGTTGTTTTTCTTGTTATGTGAAGTCGCTGTTCTTATTTTAATCATGACATCTCCCGGCTTTTGGACTATTTTTGCATATATATGTTAACTTGATATCGTATAGTTAGTATTTGAAGCGCGATTAAGCTTATAGCTTTGCAGACGCGCAGTAATTTAAGGCAAATGCTTGAATCTTAGTTTTTACTTTCTTTTTTATTCAATACACAGCTACCATATGCCTTGGTCCTCGTATTTACTTATATAATATTGTTCTGTTCATTTAGCCATATTTCTAAGTTGAAGCAAAGTAGCGTTGTGATGGGGGACAACAAAATTCATAGAAAAAAGTGGCCTGAGGGTCGTAAAACGTTTGTTAACGCATAAAGAAATAAAATTAGTGCGGGATTTAGGAGATCGCAAGCGGAAGAGCCAAGGATTTATATGGTCGGCACGGAAAATATACCCCCGAATCACCTGTAGCTAGTGGTTCCAAACTAGCTAAGCTTCCACGAAACGATACTCCAGCCTTCTTGTCACTCAAAAAATCATTCTCACCAGTTGTAGAAAGCCTCATCTCAAATCGCAAAAAAAAAAAAAAAAAAAAGTCCGTCTTTCAGAAATGTTAAAACAGTCCGCGAGAGAGCAAACCGATCTTGCCCGAGTTTTCTGGACGCTGCATCAAGAGATTGGGAGATCGCATTTTCATATCGTAACTACGCCCATTCCGATCCGCTGTTCACAACGGAATAAAATGGCGGCGTGCACAAGGCAATTCTAGAATGAAGTGTCATTACTCTAGGCGCATTTTATTTAGTGACTATAGCCTATGCGCCAAGAAACTGAGGGAGAGGAATAAACGAGAGGCAGCTAGCTGTATAGGTCTACGCCCCCGCGCCCTCTCATCTCCACATCTCCCTAAGTTACTCGGCACATATATGCTCGCGCCGGTCTAAAATCTGTTATTGCTCGCCTGGTATCTGCTCTTCCTTATCCGCGGCCCTGCGCCGGCCGATAAGTGGGCCCAGGCGGACTCGACAACATATGTATATCAGTGAAGGAAGGCAACGATCTGCTGCGGACGCTGAGTGCCACGGTACGTGGGAAGTTTGCTTCTCTAGTCGTCAAGGGGTGTCTTTTATCTGTCGCTTTGCATCACATGTAAACGATTGATTATTGTGTTTTGTTCTTTGGATTTTTTGTTCTTATGCCATTTATTTTAGCGAAACTTCGTAAAGATTCCAAAGGATCAATCTAATTGCCACGAAGGTTATAGCAAAGAAAACGTCACTGCATGATTATTTCGGTAACATGATTTGGACATAAATGGTTATGGTATGATCCTTTCACAAATATGTGGGCTGCGTTGACAATGCTTTTAACGGGAGAAAAGATTTTTTCTCGCTAATATGACCATTGAAAGTTTCCACGGCGACACTTGATAGGAAATACTGCTATATAAATAGCTAGTAGAGAGCAACGCCTTAAGCGGCTCATGCTTTCTGTAAGACTATTAATTTGACCTAGGTTCAACCCAAAGTCTAATTTAATTTTTTGAACAGTGGTTGAAAAATAGAGTGTCCCGGTTATGACATAATGAATTTTTGGTAGGTAGTCACGATTTTTTTTTTAACCAGATTTATAGGATTTTTTGTAACGGTTTATTAAGACACCGTAAGAAGCTGACTCTTGCATATCAAACTTCCGCTATATTTGCGATAAACTCAGTTACATCAATGATTATCTGCGGAGGGGAAAAGAGGGGAAGCAGAGTCGATGCAGAAATACGAAACATGCTGGAAATCTTGTGGGAACCTGTGATGCTGAGTGTTCTTGAGCCATGTCGCGAAATTATAATATTTATAGGCGATTTTTATATTTTATTTGCTGCATGCCTAAGCTAAGATTTCTCAGATATTCTATCGTGTTGTCTCAAACCCAGTTCTGGAGTTGAGTTTCTTTTTCTTCTCTTTTCAGACATTTTGGTTTTAGGGCACGTACATATAGAAACGGTCTGAAAGGACTTAAACCTCGACCGCTAGATCAGCCGTGTCCCTGTGGTACGTGCTATTCGCTTCTAATTTGCAACATAAATGAGCTGAGTATTTCTTTAGATAAATAAGACTACCAGGTGTAAATGCAGCACCTTTCTTGAGGAGAAGCCCGCCTTCAAATGCCCGAAGAAAATACTGTATTAGGGGGTTTCAGAATAGCGCACGCTAAAGCTTTGCGCACGCAAAGAATAGCGTCGTCGCCACTGCGCATGCTCCGAACGCAAACCAGGTTTTGCGCTTTGCGTGCACAATTTTAGCGTGCGCTATTTCTCGGGAATAGCGTGCGTACGCAAAGAGTCTTTGCACTCCTCCAAGGAGGATTCGTGATGAGAAGTTGGCTAAAGCCAAGACGAGCAGAGTTAAAAAAAAATGTCGGCTTCCAGGATTATGTTAGAGTCACTAAATAAGCATAGCTATATTTAGTGACTCTAGATTATGTAGGCGGCTGCTTTGGCGGCGTGGCGGCGTCGTGAGTGCGACGTCGGCGGCATCCTCGCAACAGCGATTTTCAATACGAGAGGACATTGTTTGGCAACGATCACCTGCAACTTGATACTTGCGACGCGCGAACGTTTCTCGGCGAAGGTACGATATACGAAGGTCAGTACACGAGACCTCTCTTGCCGAGGCGACGCAAGCAGACATGACCGGTCAACCGCTCGGGTCGCATTCTCATGTTTAAACAAATCTAAAATAGTACTCTGAACCAAAAACTTTTTTTTTTCTAAAGTTAGAGCATTTTGTCTGTGAAATTGAAATTGTGACTGTGTCTTGGTGGCGTCGCAAGCGTGAGCTGCTTGGGCTTTTGCGTCGCGACGGAGAAACGCTATTCTAAAACTCTCTTGCGTCGCGTGCGTTAATGCAAGCGCTAAATTTAGCGCTAGCGTGCGCTAAAATTACGTACGTTATTCTAAAACTTCCTATTAACTAATAAACCTGCACCGTTTTTGTTTTTTTTGGCGTCACAGCACACCGCGAAACATCCGCTTCTATTCGCTCTTTTTCGCGTGAGTTGAAACGTGGTGGCGCCAGTCTGTAACTGCCCCGAACCACTTCCGGTTCTGATAGACGGCGGGTTTGGCAGTATTTGCGAAATCAAACATACGTGCTATCTTCTTGAAATTGCCACTCATGGCACTGTGAGACTAAATTGGCACTCATGATGAGAATTGTGAGTAAAAATATTAAGGAATATATGTGAACCGGAAGTGTGCCGGGGCTACCAATAGATGGCGACACTGAGATTGTTCCCCCCCCCCCCCCCCCCCCCCCAAAAAAAAAAAAAAAAAAAAGGGGCGAGTAATCTCAAGCAGTTGCTTGAAAACTCTTAATATATTTTGGGAAAGAAGATGTGGCCCCGCCAACGCTCACAAACTCCCCGAGCTCGGACACGGCACGGTCGACTCGCTATTCATTCTATAATTCCCTCATTCTCCATCCAATCATCTTATACCTATCTCTCAGCAATATGCTAAATTAAATTGTCAAGTCACTGGTAATTTAGCCACTGCCCATAAGCAATATTTTACCGGAAGGATACAACTGGCACATCAGTCCTAATCTTTATAGGATCGTTTTACAGGGCGGGGCATCTCCTAGAGACCTTCTGTTGCAACGAAGTATAGAGGGGATGCTGCACATGAGACTGCACACTCCCCTTTCCTGTGGAATGCGGAACTATTAAGACGCCAGAAGAAGAAATAGCGCTAGCATCCTCGAAGAAACCCTGCCACCTATTTGCCGTTTTGTGCTGTTGGAATGTCCAGTATTGGGGGGTCAACGACCTGTCGAAGTTGACGTAAGAGGATATAAAACATAATGAATATTTAATATATTTCCCATGTGCCAAGGCTCCAAAGAATCCAGGTAATTGAATCATCCGCTAGAAACCTCGGCGTGGCGTAGAAGCAAACTCCTTGTGGTGACCTCACCCGGCGCGGGCCATTCAGCATCAGGCTATCTGCACATTCTGCTGCATGCTGCTCGGCCACCAGCCGAGAGGCCCAGCTGTGTGAGGTCACCACATAAAAGAAGAAGGTATCTAGACGATTGTGGATTTGTCTTTTTTTTTTGGTGACCCGGTTCCGATAAGGACATTCGAGGGCTGGAAGATCCTCATCACGTCCTGGTCACCAGATGTGGATCGCCCAGCCCGTTGAAGGTCCTCATCACGTTAAAGTCACCGATTTGCGGGTATCTCTTCTATTTGAGAATTAAAGCAGCGGAAAGGACGAGAAACCGGAACAAGACAGAAATTCTCACGTATGTACCAACTCGCCCAAGCTTCAACTTTAGCAATGTGTCGAAGAAACAGTCCAGCTCCACATGTTATGAAATGGTTCGTTTAATATGCGTCTAGACTCCGGGGTTGACCGTGCCCCGAGGGCGCAAAACCTGACCACCGGACACGGTCGACGAATAGCAGAAAAAGAAAGAGAGAGAGAGAAAACCGAAGAAAGATTGAGCGAGAGGGAGGTTTCGCTAGAATGTATTGTGCGCTATCTGCCGCATGCTCGGCTACAAGAAGACTAGTGACCTAGCCGCGTTAGGTCACCAGATCCGGCCGCCTGCCACCCTGTCCTTGAATTCATACAGCGTGTTCACCAGCAGGAAACGCAGCAACGCGCTTTTCAGGGGGAAATCTTCGAGACCGGCATCATCAAGATGACGATCAAGGTGGCTGTAGTCGGAGCCGGCATCATTGGCATGACAACGGCTGTCAGGACACTGGAGACCGTCGCCCACGTCAGTGTCACCGTCATCGCGGAACACTTTACGCCGCACACCACCGGAGACGTGGCAGCAGGATTCTTTAAGCCTTACTCTGTCAGCGGTGTCTCTGACGAGAAGCTCAGGTAACCTGCAGCACACGTTATTCACTTCGTTTTGTCGATAAACCGCAATAGTCACTGAAAAGGTGAGGCCGACAGGGGAGAGCCTTAGTTGTATCGCCTTTAGCGCGAACTCGCTACCTTCAACAACGCTTCGGCGTCTCGTGAAATAGCTTCCTCTATACTCACAAAGCCTGGCAGTTCGACGACGGAGGCCTGTCGCAGATTTTGAGCCCGAGGGTCTGGTAGCTGAGAGCATCAAAGAGCCAATTCTCGGGAACCTGGACGTCAGCGCACAGCTTTTGCAGCGGCGAGGACCCGAAACACACTTGTTCGCTCGAGAGAAGTGTGTTTCGGCGTCTCGCCGCAGCGGGGCTCCAGTCACATGACTCTCCTCTCATTCATTGTCTGCCGCTCCACCTTTCCCATTTTACTTTGCTTTGTCAGTACATAGGAGGCTATGCCCGTGCCCCTCCAGCGCGCGCGCGCGCAGCCAAAACAAGGTGAGGAGGCATGGAGAGCGCGCTGTAGGCAGAGCGTCCGAAAGACACACCCCTTGCCGCTCTCCTTCTGCCAGTGACCGTAGCTCTCTTACTCATTCTCGTGTTATGGCTTCCATGTTGTCGCTCGCGTTTATTCCCTTTCATTGCATGTCACATGGTTCCAGTCACACTGCTCGTACATCATACAAACATGCTATTCGCTGCAGTCATGGTGGTAGTGGTGATCTACGGACGCGCCTCAACCATGTTTGAAGCATGTTCGCTTCGTACACATGTATGCCTTAAGATATCTGGAGGTTAATTTTGCATGAGAAATGTGACATGGCCTTCACGCAAGAAAGAAACACACATCAAGCAGTGGCATGCAGACTGTTTTTGTATAAGGTATTAGCTGTGCGACCGCGGCCTTGGGAACTCCAAAAGCTCCCGAGGCACTCTAGGTTAGGAGTGCCACCGTAGTTTGGAGACTGTGTATTAGCGTCTTTTATGGATAGCACGCAACGCTCTCAGAGTTAGTGGCACAAGTGTGGCGCCTCATTGGGACAAGAGCACGTGCAGTGAAGGTCAGCTGTTTCGCTATCGAAGTTTAACACACAACCCTTACAAAAATATTTACTTACACCATGACGACGTTCTATAGAAATGTGTTCCTAGGAGGTGCATGGGGCCTCTCCGCCATAACCGACCTACATATCCGTCCCAATTTGAATGGTCCTTGTTCAAGGTCTCTTCCGAGCATTTTTTGTGGTATCGGACGAACTGTCCGCCATTTTTGATGGCGCTTATGTAACGGTACCGGCGGAAGTCGGTAACCTTGTAGAGCAAGGGGCTGCTCGGCGTTTCAAAGGCATCACACCGCATTTGTGTCCCGCCTAAGTTTGCGACAGCGGCATTATAGCTGGGAAAAGTTATTTTTGGGTCATTAAAACGTTTCTTGAATGCCGACATAATGTCACGGATGAAGACGACAAGAGGATGAACAGTGAACTAAAATAATGGTTTTATCAGCAAACTTGTGCCGAACAAAATAAAGAAGGAGCGTGGAAACAGCGAAACAGCGGGCGGCGATTTGGCGGCGTAACAGTAAGCCGGAGCGAGACTGACTCGACAAGGTCCACCGAAGGTGCTTATATAGTGAGCTTGACTATCTCGAAAATTCGGCAAAGAAGCTTCAAGCGTCGCGCTCTCTGGGCGAGAATGAACAGGCACTTTCGAAAACAAGAAACTAAGACGAAATGATACAAGTTACGCCCCGAGTAAGAATAAACGCGAATTTTCTAGAATGCCGTGGCCGGGCACTCCTTTCTTGGCCCTGCGAGCGGCGATATGGTTCTGAAAAGCCTAAGAAAAGTGCCAGTGAACGTACATATGGGCGAAGCTCTTTGTTGCTTGATACCAGAAAATGTCAGGCGATAGATATAGTAAGTGGCGTGTCTGGGAAGGAAAACGACACGGCTGAACACTCAGTACTTCATTATAAAGGCTTTCACCCTGTAGTTGCCTAAGGTGATGCCGATCTAGTACTCTTTGGTTTAAAAAAAATGAGAATAAAGCAGAAGTTAGGCAAGCGGAGATCGCAAAGCACAGGTTATAAGACTGGTAAAATAATTAAGGGAAACAATTATTTTATTTTCGATCTGTCGGGCGGAATGTTTGCGCAGCAGGTTGCAAAGAGGCACCACGTCACAGGGGCTGTAACTATCGATTGCGAAGAACGGTAAATAAATGCTTTTGCATAGCAGCATTAGGAAATTCTTACCATGTTCTACTATAATTCTAAATATAAAAGTATGCTGTCAGAATACTTAACCGCATATTTCTTAGGCTTTGGCTAGGTGGGGCTAGCCGCCGCCCGATTAAAAGGGTTGGGCTCTATTCATCCATCCATTTAAAATTTCATTGTAGCTTCTTATTTTCGCCGCTGTGGTTTTAAGAAAGGTAGCTACCTTCCAAAATAACTTGGATGTTTTGTAACCAATGCAGGTTTCATATGGGTTACTGTTGCTAGTTTTGATAGCTCGAAGTTTCATTGAGGATGGATGGATAAATTAACATTCTTGAAGCCTTAGATCTGGGACAAATCATAGAGGACGTGGTCCGTGCTAACGTCAACAATAGCAATCATCAGAAGCTAGTCTGAAAAAGACAACGAACGCTAAAATCATAATCAGCCACAATCGGTCGTTAAAGAGCTGTCATGAACGATAACAAACAAAAATGCTGGCTTGTGTTAGCTATCTCGTGATAATGTAGAGATATGAATCGCAATCTGCATCGGGCGCTGAGTTATTGACTTTTCAGATGACTCATTTTGTATCAAACTCGCAATCTGCACTGAGGCACGCGAACATAGAAAACGACATACTCCGTGTTAATGTCATGAGCGGTCTGCGTGAAACGTCGGTAAGATAAGCCCTCACATTGTTTTATGACCTTGCGTTAACTTACTCATGTGACACAAGCAAATTTACTCATCTTTTACGCAAATGGTGACATGTCATAGGTATGTGGTGTGTTAAAGCTTAGAAAAGACACGGTATTTATATTTGACAAAATATCACCTCATATAGCTTTTTTATATAATGATGGTTTATGCTACCTCTTTAGAGATATACTGAAGTATATTATTGTTGGATGAATTAGATTTAACTTAATTTTAACTGTATTTATCAGAATATTCCGTATTAGATAAGTTAAGTTTGAAAATCAGCACAATTAATAGTATGCGAACTCAAAACATTACTAGAAAAGACAATTTACGCACCGTTTGGTTCTACGCGATGGTACAAATTTTATACAAATTAATCATCGTACTGTCATGCCTTAATTGGGTCTTTAAAAAAGTGAAATAAATAAATTAATTTAAAACAAAAGAAAAAAACAATGATATTCAAGTACAGAAACGCGGAACAAATTTCTTTAGGTTGTTTACTCTTAAAACTCAACATAGTTAATCTAGATAAAACATATAATGTCGAAACGGTGAGAAAACGTTGACTGAAAATGAACTGGTCATGGTTGATGAGCGCTTCTCTAAGCCTTTCATAATTTCACAAACGCAGAGACTGGTGCATAGAATCCTACAACTTTTACAATCAGCTCCTACACTCGGAAGATGCACCTCGACTTGGTTTGGCCGAGATGCCAGCCTATCACCTGGAAGAAAGCTGGAACGTGAGTTGCGGCCTGTGTTCTCAAAACCCACTAGTTGCTACATTGAAATCCCCGATCTCTTTCTCTTTTTGTATGGGATAGCACCGTACTGGCTTGCATTTGTGTACCATTACTGCCTGGGTCGCGTGAAAAGATCCCAGGTTAAAAGTAATGCTGTATTGGCTAACAGTCAAGTTGCATAAACACCCGTAAAATAAAATACTTGCTATAAAATGCAGATTTGTCAGAACTACATACACACCCCTTGGAGATGATAGACCCTTTTCAAAAGTCCAGGCCAACGCCTGTCCGCCATTCCTTGCTCACATACTCTGAGCCTGTCACGAGGCGAGGCGAGGCCTCCGTCAACGTTCGGCATGAACTCGGCTCAGCTCGTATTGGATACGGGTGTGACATCAGCGTTCGGCAAGGACTCGGATCCAATCACGCGCTTTGTGTCCAAGCAATGGCGACTGCCAATGTTGCTTGATAGACTTTTGAAAAGGGTCCGTGTCCAATTTTCTGCAAGACGAGTGAAAGTCCCCCTCTTTGAGCCACCTTTTCGAGCTACCGCCAGGAGCTCATTCGTCCATCCAGGACAAGCGATGTTTTCCTGAAAGTCAAGTTTGTGTGATCCACCAGGTTGCATATGTCATTACGCTCCCTGGTGGCGGCAGATGTGACCACCAAAAACAATTTTTTTTAAATTTTATTTTGTTTCTAAAAGTTTACAAGACTTTGACTCTGCTGTTTCGTTTTTTCGAGCGCTGTTGAAGAAGCAAAAGACACCGATTTGCAGTTTAAAAAGAAATGCTCAAAATAACCGAAATTGCACTTGCGTGTACATCTTGGGGGGATGAGTTATGGCTTTGTCACTTCAGAAACATTCGAGCACACGATAAACAATACAGCGAAACGAACGCGTCTTCAGCAAAAAAAAAGGAAGTGAAAAAAGTGAATTGTGAAATTAGGAAAAAAGAAAAAAAAATAACAGCTTGAATATTCGCCAGAGTTTGTTTTATATTCCGATTTTAACATTTCCCGGATACTTAAGGATCGTACCTACTTGAAAATACAACCAAGGTGCTTGTTACCATTACATAAAAGTGCATATACGAACCTCCGAAGTAGCCTAAAGATTTTATTTATGCAACTCATCATATTCACTTTTTTTTTCTTTTGTTGACAGCCAAGACCAAAGTATGCTGACGCTTTTCCGCTGTGGCGTGACCTCACGGAAAAGGAACTGGAAGCATTTCCGAGCAAATACAAGTAACCCTTCAAAAAGCATTTCCACAGCATCCATTTCAATCGCCCATGAGAGGCACTGGTGTTGTTGTTAGCTAAGCACGCGAAATGCCATTCGTCGTTCTCTACAAAACCCATAGCATGTACTTGTCCGCAAACCACTTGGGAATGTCAAATGCTGTGATCTAAGGAGGTAGTTCTGAAAACGACGAGGCTGAAAACAGATTTTGACCTTAAAAAGGGATAGTGCGATTTGACTCCAGTAAGCATAACATAAGCACGTGAACGTCATACTCTCTGTCACAGCGCCGAGTGTTCTTTTAGGTCTCAACATACTCCGAGCCTCATCACTCGCCGTGCTTTCTCCGTTGATTGCAAAGATAAGCTATAGGCCATGATAACATGATTCTGTGACTGTTCCCTTTGTAACGGGTGAGCTTAAACCACATGCAAAAAGAAAAGCGTCATCTAGTGCACTCATGCCCAATTATACAATTTTCACTATATTGGGGGCTCCTGTACAGATAGCTTCGCCCGAGAGACAATGGTACGCCCCGGCAAAGTGGAAGTCGCAGATTTAACATACGATCACATGATCCAAGTCCAGTCCAAGCCCTTCATACCGCGTCTTCGATAAAGACCATTCATTGACCTTAATGGCCCAGCTCACTGCTTGAGTGACAAGTCTTGCGACAGCTTTTCTGCAACTTCTTTTTCCAGAATTTTGCAGTCCTTTTGACTAGCGCTAAACTTGGCCAGCCGATATTACCCCTGACTATACGTTGTGACAAGTTACCTTGAAAATTAATTCAGCAAAGTAGATGTGTGCAGGCTCGAGTCAAAACTGCAATGCTTTGTTTTGTGAAGAACGATAAAATTTCGCGTATTTTTTTTTTTTTTTTGATAGGTACGGCTCTTACCTGATCTCAATGATAATTGAGTGTAAAAGGTTCCTGCCTTATCTAATGCAAAGGTGAGTTTGAAACGCCGGTACCTCATGTGCAATTCTTGACTTTTTTTTAAATTTAATGATTTGTGCGCCCAAAAATATGAATGAACAACTGATTTAGCTCAAGGAATTGAGGCAAGTAGTTTTAAAGAAAGATAAAAGAACAATTAAATGAATTGGAAGACGTTACAATGCCATATGTAAAGGTCGACGGCTTAATATATGAATCTCATTAGGTTTCACACCGGAATAAATTGATTGTAAACTTTATTATCTGATTTCTTGTATATAAAACTATACGTTAAAAAGAAAAAAAGGGGTGAGCTAAAATGTTTTTGTTTTTTCACTCAACAATGGTTGCGTTGTTGTATTAAAAGCAAGAATTATATCTTTAGGACTGATGTTAAATGAAGAATCTTCGAGTTATATCACATTTGCTTCCGTGTTGCAGATTCCAGAAGAGGGGAGGCCGCTTCCTTGAACGAAGACTGGAGAATCTCGAAGAGGTCAGTCGAATGTGGAATATTAAGGACTATTTTCAGATGCTAACGATTCATATATTACGTCATCCCAAGCTTTCATTTCAAATAGCTAGGAACGTGTGAATAACAATAAATATTGATAAGGATTACCATAAATTCACATCCTAAAGGAGGCAATTAACGCTTTCCACAGAGCGAGATAGTGACATGGAACTGCTCTCACATTAGGTTTCGCGATATATGGGGGCTTGAATTATAATGCTATCACACACAAACTGCTTATTATTGTCTACGCGACGATTTGGTAACAACTTATTGACTTACTCATCGAATTTTCTATCAAAATAGCCACCTCAAAGAATCACTGCTATCACCTCCCCGACGTATTTTCCCGCGTCTAGATCACATATGTAAATTACGTCCAATTCGATCATCAACTGTTTCTCACCAGACTTCCGCACTACCATTGGCCATCGAGGATTGGAATTCACTACCTCATAACATCGTTTGTATTAATGATACAACTAAATTTGTTGAAGCCATTACCATCTCTTTATCTAACCTACCTAGCTAGCTTACAGTGTTATAATTGTGTTTACTGTTCTATTTGTTTTTGTTCTATTGCCACCCCCTTCTATAATGCCCCACGGGCCCTCAAGGAAAATAAATGATGATGATGATGATTGAATTTTGTTTTCGGAATTGTAGTGTTGAGACCATATGATAAATATTTCTGCAGCTTGGCCTTGAATATGATGTAGTCATGAACTGCACTGGACTTGGAGCTTCGAGGATTTGTCCAGACACGAAGGTTCATCCTGTTCGCGGACAAACAATCAGGGTAGGTATTTTAGCAAAAAAACTAAATAATTTTAATAATTCCGGGTTTCAGTTGACTAAAAGCTACATAAGGCAATTGAGAATGTGAATCAGTTAGACATAAACTTAGTTTATTTATATCTAAACTTCACTCTATTGTTATTTTTTTGCCCTCAAGAATTTATTGAATTTTCTCAGAGGGATGACGTGAACAACATGTTTCTTTTACTTTTGATACAATTTTCAAGTGTTGTGTTTCCTCCAAATATTTCTGAAAAGGTTGCGTACAAAGAAGGTCATCTCCAAACTTAGCGTATGTCTCGCGAAAGAACTCATCACTTGTGTATTGTTTAGTAGCAGCAAAAACTCGTAATTTCAATTTGAAACTTTTAGCGTAAACTAAAAAACAAACTAGTATTCCCTCAATACTAGATTGATAAAATAGGAAATTAAATCACTGGATACATTCCTTCTTTCGATTTAATGAATTGAAATGTTTACTGTGGGAGCTATGTCAGGGCACCGTAGCTTAAGGTATAGGTGGAACAAAAGCTCGCGCTGCAGATCCCAGAGATCTTGGATTTAATTTAGGGTGCTTTCCATTTATATATAAATGAGCATCGCACCAGCGTGTGCCTGTGAAGTCACTACGGCGTAGTGCCTGTTAAAATGTCCCAAGTTAGCAGCAATGCACTACCCAAATGTTTTGTCTTCATCGGAAGCACCAAAAGTTCTTTACCGTTTAAACATTCATTCTATTCACCAGCTCACTGTTTACAAACAAGCCCGCTTTGCCCATACCAGGTGCGGGCATTGCGCTTGCGCCGAAACCTAATTAGGGAGAAGTGATACGTCTGCGCATGCGCACTGGCGACAGCAGCGCCACCGCAGTGGCGTGACGTCAAAGGGCTGAGTTGGTTTATACATATCGTTTTTGTCTGCTGAAATGTTCTGTATGGTGCGACAAAAAAAATATTAAATTTATGTTTTGTGTTACGTTAAGATTAATAAGTAAGAAAACGTAATTTCTAAAAAAATGCAAAAGAAGCGAATTGTTAAAGTTAATAAACAATTAAATGATGTGGATCACACTATTGTGGCAGTTTTGGGAAGAAGTTGAACTATTCCTTTAAACAGGTTCAAGCACCTTGGATCAAACATATCGTGATTGGAGGGACGGATTTCCACGTAATCCCAAAGTAAGCCATTGAATTTTTCGCTGGTGAATTTTTCTGTCCTTTGGAAATCACCATCGGCGTGGTTTCGATTAAGTCACATGTCAGGAAATGTCTTTTTTTTCTCGAAATTAATCTTTCATTCAATTACCGCGTACAGTCATGTCTCGTTAATAGGAATACTCCGTTATATAAATAATATTCTCGGGGACGAGCTGGATAAATAGATGTATTTTTGTCTCGTTAATATGGACAACTAATATTATGGATGGTTTTCTGGGGGAGCGGAGGTGTCCATATTAACGAGACCTCACAACATAACCTCACGCTCAACAATAAAGTTAAAAGATACTAGAAACGTATTGACCGTATATTTTAGATTATGCTATAATGTTGAGTATTGTTGTTGAAAAGTAGGATGAAAGATCCAAGCGTAACGTTCCTGGCAAATTTTATGACCCGGTAGCTTTAACGTAAATTGCTGACATATCTCGTTTGCGCGGTAGAATTTCAGTGAGATACACTCAATCTGGGGAATGTTTATTGCCATCTATACTTTAATATCATCAATAAATTTCTAAAGTTGTCAATATATATGCATTTGCAGACCTAAAACATAGTCATCACCTCACGGTAAATTAAGATAATTTTTTTATGTCGTCTCAAATTGTCATTTTTGGCCTCTGGAGAATGGTAAAGAGCGTGTTACAAAAGCTTACGAATCAGCTTTTCATTTTTCTATATATTGGTGGTTAAACTCAAGGTGATTGTCAACTTTTTTAATTTAACGATAAGGCCTCTTTTTTTATATGGCTTAGCTTTTGCAAGACACACCATCTCAAAGAAATGCCACATTATATAATTGATTATGTATTTTTGTCGTCAATTGGTGAAGACAGATTACCTTAAATATTCTAATGCTTTAACAATTAGATTTGGACCGCGAATGAATGATTGAGAGCTCCGCCGATACAAGCAATTTCCATTTTATTTTTATCATTTTATCTGACAATTAACTGTCATTCAAATTATTATCCGACAATTTCTTTCACTGAATGGAAATAACACTCCCGTGGATTATACATCAGCCAGACTTTTAACAAATAATGCGGTAATTTTGACGGCCACTGCATTCATTATACCAATAAAAAATTAAACAAAATGGGCAGATGAAGAATATGCATAAAGCTGATAACATTATTTACCATTCCAAGGCGTGTAGGCGACAGGAAGTTGTCAAGCTCCATTATGCAGCACATTTCTTACATTTCTCTTCAAATATTAAACTCCATAAACGTTTGACGTAGCCTTGATTTCGATTTTTTTTTATGTTTTGCAAACGGGAAGTATAAAAATTACCAACAATTTGAAGCTTGTGGCCGCATGACACCGCAGATCGATAAAAACTTGATAAAGAAAGTAAAATAAAAACTGTACACAGGCATGTTGGTCATGGACGTTATTGACGATGTGTACCTTAGTGTTTGTGTCCTCTATCTGCAGCATAGATGACGTCATGCTGGGAGGCACAATTGGTGTTGGGGAATATTCTTTGATCCCTGACTCTGAAACCGGAAAGAAGATATGGAAAGGTTGCTGCGAACTGGTGCCAAGCTTGAAGGTACAACGACGAATTCAGTTTTTTAGTCGCAGAAAAATGCGCTATTTAAAACAATTTACGAATTTTAAATGTATGGTTCAACCAAACGAAAATTGGGACAAACTATCTAATTACAAGTCTCGCAACACGGAAGATAGCTTTACCAGTCACTCGTTTTTAAATATCTACTTTGACGTGGAGCGAAAATTCGAGCTGTAGAACTCGGGGATCCCCGGGTTCAATGCAATCCTGATTGTTTCGATCTGATCGATGATCAAACCAGTTCGCGCTCGTGTAGTTATCACTACCGTATAAGGCTCCAAGTTAACATTTCTGCTCTACTGGCTTAATGTTTAGTCTACTGCGTGAACCTGATTCGCTACATCTCTGATTAACCTCACGCTCTAAAAATACATAAATTGTTTTAACCATCTTGTTTATTTTTTATATTATCTGAGACCGTCCAGGTGAAATCGTTTTTTGAATGACGAGTTTTTGCCTAACATTTCATTAATATGCTTTTTGATTTGAGTTACGGGAGTTAACAAAATGGAAATTTTCGTAGATCGCAATCACTTAATCGATGAATCAACCAATCATTCAATCTATCGATCATTCAACCGAATGATCAATCAATCAATCAATTAATCAATCAATATTCAGTGTTTGTATAATGTGACGTCAAGTGGCGCCATGACGTGATACCCTTGAGTCAAAGAGGATAAATGCCATGCGTTTAGAGAGCATTTTTGGGATACCAGCAGCTCTTTTTCGCAGGTGATTGGAGGCGCATGGTTTGAGGGCCTAATTAATTGTTACTTAATGTGCCCTTATCGCAGCATGCCAATATTATTGGAGACTTCGTTGGACTTCGACCGGGAAGGGACCCGCTGCGGATTGAACGCGAGAACCGTATTGTCCAGGACGGCAGTAAAACGGTAAGAAGTTCACTCCGCCATATTTCACCGCTAAACCTAGGGCGGAATGGCCAAAAGTAGGCACGAGCTGGCATAGGGGGAATGGTTCAACGAATTTCGCCTTACCGGACACTTTACAGAACGAATTACAGTTGAAGAGGAAGAAGAGAAAAAAACTGGAACTTGTATTTTCTGCTATAACTAAAGGTGACTGTCTTGATGCAAATGCCCTCTACCACCACGCTGCATTCGCTGCACTCAGCATAGGAATATCACAGAGCCTTAACCGTACTACCAGACAGTAAAAAGTAACTCTGACACTTGCTTAGTAATTTGAGACCGGAAACGCCAGATGACCACCGAACCTTCATGCAGGAAGCATAACTCCATCGGGCACTTGTTAGGCGATTTAGGCCCAGAAATGTCAGATGGCAGCTGAACTATCAGAAAATGAAGCCTGACTTCTGCACTTATTTTGGTGATTTGGCCCAAAAGTGCCAAATGAGAGCCGAACACTTGGTTGGCTACTTTGGCCCATAGCTGCCAGATGACAGCAGAACTATCAGGAAGTGAAGCCTAACTTTGGCACCTGTTTTGATATTTGAGCACAAAGATGCCAGATGACAGCCGAACTGCCAGGAGCCTAACTCTGGTACTCGCTTGGCGATTTTGCCCAAAGAGGCCAGATGACAGCCAAACTACCAGGGATTGAAGCCTAGCTATTGCACTTCTTTGGCGAACTAGGGTCAAAATATACAGACGTTTACCAAAGAAGGTAAGAATTGGCTCTACATTGGTTCATTCGGGCTTTTGAAGGCCCGAAACTCCCAGACAATAGCCAAATTCTGCCCAGAGCTTTGTACTACCTACGATGCCATTTGTAGTGGAGTTTATATCCCTCTGGCCATGCCCTAGTTGGTTATCTGAAAAATTGGCGTGTTTAACCCTTTTCCTACGTCTTAAACAGGATGCTGCGATCTGTCCAGACGCAGTTTATAGCTATGTTTTAAAGAAATGCGCTTGTATATTGAAAGCTTTTTTAGCATATTTGTTCAAAATTGTTTTATAGGATAATGAACTACATCTTGAATTGAAGTCTTCTACCCTAGTATCGATACAAAAATCTGGAGTTAAAACAGTGTTATTAAATACAGATCGATTTCCCTCACAATTCTATGCTGTTAAACCACTGAGCGTATTTTTATTCTAGCATTATTAAGCATCTAGAAGTAAACAAACATTTTAAACCACACCAACCTTGTTTGAAAGCTAATTTATCTTGTGCGACGCAGTGTACCCAGCTTACTCAGGGAATTACTCCTTTATACGACAAAGGCTTTAAGTTCAAATTTATGTTTTTTTGGATTTCCAAGAAAGCTTGATTCGGTTCCACGTTTTCTTCTTTTCTATAAATTGTAATTTTTAGAAATATAACCGAATGTTCTTAATTGGCTGAAGGCTTATTTGTTAAATAGAAAACAGTGTTTGGTGAGCGGTGCTGCCTCTGGTTCCGTCCACGTACGCCCAGGCGTCCCGCCAGAGTCGGTTTTGGGGCCCTTGCTCTTTCTGGGGTGCAGTAATAACATGTGGCATATCGCCAAGCATAAAACTTAACGTGGATGATTGTGCAATTTATAGAGGTGTTCAAGATGTGCCTGATAAGCCGCTGCAACATTAAATGAACTTCTCATAACTGTGGTGTAATAGATGAAAAATGTGTTTCAACGTAAAGATATGTTATATATTCATTTTACAGAAAGCGTAAACCCTTATGTCAGATGACTATATATGTGGTCAGTTGTCTCGACTATGTTGATGGCAGTATTTATGCGTATACTTCACGGCTAATTTTACGTTAAATTAGCATATGTAGTATTTAACTAACAAAGCAAGTAATTTTTATAAGTAAAATTCTATTTCGCGTAATTTCAAAACCGTTTTCATGCATCTTAAGAATGCACTGTATGTGATTACTGAGAGGCCGATTAAAAAAATATGCGTATTAAACATGGGGTACTCTTATGCAGAATGAATTCTGCATCCTAAAACGTTTCGAAAACCCTGCTCCTCGTTTCGTTTGTGTCAATTATAATTTTACTTTTAGCATATCTATATATCTATTAAATTGACATCGATAAAAATACATATATGAAGGACCCATATTTCATTTCCCCACCGAACTATCATCAAGAAAAAAAGAGAAAAAATGTGCGAGAGCTCTGCTGCCGTACAGATGTTTGTGCTCACTCTTTTTCCCTGTTACTATTTGCAAATAGAATCGTTTTGACCCCGAAATTGTCATCTCGAACATACTCTTTTCAGTCCTAGAAAGCACGTCTCAGATATATTGTTATACACGTTTTGATTGTATTTCTCTTATTTTTAATGCGTATATTGTATTGCGTAGTTTGGTATAATGTGTTTTCACTTCATGTTAACACTCTAAACGGGAGAGGTCCTGAATAGAGGACTTGGCCGCGAAATTCTCTCCTTTCCTAAAGGAACAAGAAAAAAAAATGAGCGCGTTCGTGTTTTCGGATTTTATCGCTGGGGCATTATTCGGCGCCGCCAGAGAGAGGCCCTGAGAGCACCCTCTTCTCTAATCTCCTTTGGTCTTTACAGCGGCCATGTTCTTTCGCGATCCGATAGGCTTTTTAAAATAAAGGAGGCAATGCTTCTGGACAGTATTCGCGTCTCCAGCTTGACGCTCGCCCTCTCACGGCGGAAACGGGAAGCGGTCTAGTGAGGGTCCCCCGATTCCCCCGCTGAGCGGGCATGGCGGAACTGCTCGCGATCATGGCTCGCGAAATGTCGTTTCCGAATGCAAACAACACTCTTCAGTGTCCCAACGTAGTGCTGCTGACGGTGTGGGATTGTACCTTACTGGAGAGTTTTAGTATTGCGCATAAAAAGCGCATAGAAGGCAACGCAAGTGGTGTGCGTTTGCGTTAGAGTTACGTGCTCCATGTTGTGCGTGCGCCTCATCGCCATCTGCCATCCAAGACCGCAATTTTGGGCTCCGCGCACACGCAGCGTGGAACAAGCAAAGCTGACGCAAACACACAGCGCTTGCGTTCGCTCGTATACGCAATACCAAAACTCACTACTGTTTCACCGGCTTCCAACGCCAACGAAACGTGCTGCAGTGAGCAGACGTGCAAGCAAGTAGGCGTTCCTTCGAACTGGAAAGGCTGAGATCGGCAAAACGATGGAGCGTAAAAATTAAAGTAACTAAATGTTATAAAAAAAAATTAAAAGAACTTTAAAAAAAGTTTTTCTTTTTTTTTTTTTGGGGGGGGGGGGGGGGAGTATGGTCTGGAAGGACATTGGCGGCGACTTTGGAGGTTTCACCGATTGTCAAAAGTCGCGACTTTGATAGCAAATTATACTTCATCCACAATTAATGTAATTGTACGTGGATGCTTCACAATAGCTAGAATGTTTTCATTGACTTTAGACTGTTTTTATTTTATTACTTGGTAACTAAAAATGCTGAAATTGGCAGCAGTGATGAGAATTAGTACACGTTTGATTGGCATATTTGTTCGCGCGTTTGAAATCAGATCATAAGCAGCAAAATATATTAAAGCTTAAAAGTTACGCAATAAAATATTTGAATTTTAATATTATTATTATTAATACAAATCGCGACAATGTATGCCCCCACTTAACGCCGAGATCACAAAAATATGCCATTTAACCATAAAAGTATTTCCAGAAAGGAATCTTTTTTTTTGTTTTTTTAGCATATGAAAAACTCTTGACATCGTTATCAAAACAGACAAACAGTCAAACACTGGATGTAATATAAAGTCCTATCCGTCACGCGTTGCTATAAAACACACACACACACACACTTCGGCTGTCTGACTCGGATTCCGTCTTTGGCTGTTGCAGTGAGAACAGCGTTTAACTTAAACGTTTTGTGGACATATCGTAAAAATTGGATTTAATCTCTTATTCTTGTGATGGGAATAATGTTAACCAATTCATCATCTAAATACCCACATACCCATTAAAAGGCCAGCAGTTCATTATTTTTTATGACAATTATCTGAGCGAGAAAAGGCAGCGAGAACGCACAAATATCAGCAGTGATTTTTACAACTAGAGATATCAGCCTGGATCGAACATGTATGTCACAAAATAAAGTTTCCGGGAAGAAGTTCTCTGACTGAATAATTACGATGTGAGACACATCTTGAGTTATGAAAGACTCCGAAATTAAGATCTCTACCGAGAAATTAAATCCAAAATAGAGGTTGGTTTCGGGTTCGCTCCAAAATTAAAACGCGCATCCTTGCGTAAATATTACGCTAAACACCGTTCTTCTTTTCAGGGTAAAGAGGTGACTTGCACTCATAACACCCTAGCTTCCTCGTATTACCAGGAATAATTTGTGTCGCTCAGTGAAGCCAGCACACTAGGCACGCTCAGCAGCGGCACACGTCTCCGACCCTCACCGCCATTTTGGAAGACGAGTGGCGCCACCTATAGTTAGTTAGAGTCGCGAATAGATATTTTAATGGATGAATAAAAAAGAAAGGTACGGCGGTGGTTTAATGTTTGCGTTCCTGGTTCGCGATTCGTTCTTTGGCCTTCTTATCATTTACTTCCACAATCTCAACTGCTGCGGCGCGATGGTAGTGAGTTTTAGTATTGCGTATACGAGCGAACGCAAGCACTCTGCCTTTGCTTTAGCGTTCAGTGTTCCACACGGCGCGTGCGTGGAGCGCAAACTGCGGTGCCTTGGATTGGCGCGTGGCGACGACGCTCATGCCCAGTGTGGAGCACACAATGCTAACGCTAAAGCACAACGGTTGCGTCTTCTACTGTAGACAACATTAAAACCCTCTAGCAAGATTCTTCAAACACTTTATGGTTTGCGTGTCTTAAGCTGACAGCGTCTACTGTCTCGAACGCCGGGTTTAAGGCTGACTCTCGTCCCGTTTTTAATGCACTCATTTGACTCGGGACTTTGCTATTGTAAGTAGTTGTCAGCTAGGCTATTATTTTAGGCATTATTGAAGAAGATGAGAGCATCCCTAAACAACCTCTTGCAGCAAACGTCGTTACTGCTCGGAAATAAAACATTT